ATATCTGATGTTGGGCAAGGCACAACTGGGATCATTCTCCATACCTAGCTGGCAAATTTGTTTTGTTTTCATGACTGTTAAAAGCTAAGACTTATGATTGCTACAAGTAAAAAGGCTCTCAGTTTCAAAACTCTTGTCCCCCTTCCCTCACCCCTACCCCCAAAACGTCCCCACGCCTACCTCCCAAAAGAGCGTCACCACCCCACCGCAGGCTGGAGACCATGTGTCTAAATAATACTGCTCCAGTGCCGTATATTTTGGGTAAAGAAGCACCTCCTGCATTTAAACCTCAATTTACAGAAGATGGTCGAAATATCTATTGTAGGTCATCAGGCACGTTTGGCTCTGTCTGTTTCAGGTTGAGCTTTGAGATTTTATTAATGTTACCAATTATTGACACGCACACGTACGCACGCACGCGCGCGCACACAAACACGGACGCACGCACGCCAATAAACACATAACATGGACTCACAGACAAACACATACACGTGAACGCACGCATACACGCACCCTTTAGCTAGCAATAAATAATAGCTGAATTTGCTTCACGCTGTCATGTTTTCATTTTACGAGCTATACAGTTCTCGTGACGCGGGACACGCTTATTTAAAAACTTCGACCGTGTGGTGGGGGAGAGGGGGGGGGGGTTGATTGATGGATGGATGGGTGAATGAATAGGTGGGTGGATGGGTGGGTTGGATAAGTGGATGGATGGGTGGGTGGGTCAATGGATGGATAAATGGATGGATGGATGGGTTTTGGATGGATGCATAGGTGGGTGGGTGGGTGGATGGATGGATTGATGGATGGATGGATAGATAGATGGATGTGTGGGTAGATGGATTGTAGATAGATGGATGGATGGGTGGGTATGTGGATTGTAGATAGATGGATGGATGGGTGGATAGATGGACAGATGGGTGGGAAATTATACTGGCCTCGTGTTACTTATAAACGGCGCAACATGATGACGACGATGATAAGTTCTAAGCCGTTTCGATTAATTGTCAAATGTCGCTACGGTCGGGTGATGTTGACCATATCTCCTAACAAGATGGAGGGACTTACGGAAGAATCTAGCTAGCTTTCTGCATGAATGGATGGATGGATTGAGGTAGGGATTGATGGAAGAATGGACGGACGGAGAAGTCAAAGAGAAATCAAAATGAGAAAACAGCGTAAATTATCTTCAATAAGATGCGCAAATGACCGACAAATGACAGAGAGATAAACTACACAATAAAAATAGGAATCTTTACATGTTATAGATACTCAATCCTACTTTATAGTGCAGAAACTTGGACAATGAACGAGAAACTAGGAAATCTAATTCTCTCTGGAAATGTGGATATCCAGAAGATTAGGTCATATTTCATGGAAACAAAATCAGTCCAGTTTCTGCAAAGACTACAAATGAAAAGAGAAATACTGAAAGAAATAAACAAGAGACAACTGAAATACTTTGCCCACATTAAAAGACAGTATGTTTTTAAAAACCATACTGGAACGGAAAATCGAGGGCAAGAGAGAAAGAGGGCAACGATACACGTAGGAGTACAACATCATAAGATGGACGAACAACAGTCTGAGAGAGTGTGCACGCAAGACAAGAGACAGAGGGTGTGGAAGATCCATTGCAGCCAACCTTTACTATGAAGATGGCACCTCACTGATTGGACGGGCCGACGGGTGGATGGGTGAGACGTGTTATGCAGGACAGAAAAGAATGAAGAAATCTTCTGTGGTGTGTGACTTATAAACGGTGCAACAAGATAATAATAATTTATATATATATTTTTTAATTTCTTGAATATTGTATGTGCCTTATCCCCAAGCTGTAGCCCATTAAGCTGGTGCCTAACTTCAGCACTGAATCCGTCACTATGGCCAATCAGGAAGTGCAGATCAGATACAGAAAACCACGACACTGGGCCACGTCCGGCTATAGAATAACCATGAAATAAGGAAGAAGATGGCCGCATACATTTCTGTAATTAGGTTTCCTTATTTATTTTTGGCAGCAAATACAATACTGTTGGAATATCTTCTAGCCTAATGGCATTTTGATGTGGGCTAGCGTATCCTAAAAAACTTCCTTGCAGCTGACAACGATTTTCGATCTTTTTTTTTTTTTTCTGTTTTCCATTTCTAATTTGTATCACCCTCTTCTTTTTCTTAGCGTTCACTGGTTGTAAACTCCGGAGGAAAGTTCTAGTTATTCTTCAAGCTCTGGAAATTAAATTGTTTCTTGAACATATTTTTTTTTTTGGGGGGGGGGGGGGTTGTACATTCTTTTCTGACAAGTCTGCAATCTTTGTATGCAGACTGTTTCTCGCCTGTGAAGCGGTCAGGAAAGGCGGCATCAATACGTTTGAAACAAAGCTGCCGGATCAAATTAGCAATGTTCTGACTCTACGCCTGTCTGAGTTTTTCCTCAGAGACCAACTGCCAGCCAAGATGATGTGCTCTGCCGTAACTGTTTTCAGATTGTATTTTCTCGACCTAGCATAAGTATGGCTAGGTGTCTTCCCCTAAGCTCTTCACCCCTCCGAAGTTGTTGGAACAATGTGGAATGGCAAGCCTGGTTACGCCATCCAACATTCTGTGATAACAGAGATAATACTGCCGACTTCTGTCATGCGGAAAATCCGTCACATAAGTTGAAAATAAAAACCAAGAAAACGCACCAAAACAGTGTATTTTCTGTCGTCCAGACAATGAAATAATCTTCCTAACGTAAAGAAATTAACACAAACTATCTGCTATTTTTTTTTTTTTCTTAGTGTGAGGAGTTACCCTGAACACCAGGCTCATCCCGAATAAAAGCTCAGAATAGGAAAATTATATCAAAAAGCATACAAAGACCCGCTGTAATGAAAAAAAAAACTGGATGAAACATACTGAGGAGCCTGTACAAAGACATGAATGCTAGTCTACACTGGAGCAGGTAAATCTGTTATGCAATACGCCCTAATCGCGTGGGCTGAAGCCGTGAAAACGAACTTGTCACACTTATACGAATGTAAAAATATGAGCTCATGAATATCACACGTACCTAGGAGAAGCACTCCTTTAGATAGTACAATTTTTTTACTTACTTTAAAAGCCTAAGGAATTTACGAACAATCTGCTAAACCATAGATTTCAGGGAGGAAAAAAAAACTATCAAGAGAAAGTACAATCATTTTACAAGAGAAACGTTGATGCAGCGTAGCGTCATAACAATTTAAAGACAGCCGCCCCAGTCTGACTTGCAATAAAGAGGAGCAGTGTTCCGTTATACGTTGTTTTTTTTTTTTTCCCCTTATCAGTTAAGGGATGAAACCTCACGAAATTCACGGGAATCTAAGTCCAATATTATTATTTTTACTTTTATTATTATTATGTTTGTGAAATTTAACAAGACTCAAGCCTCTCCTCTATAAAATTGTAAAATGGCAAGACATCCACGTGGCTGCATCTGGATACGTGAGTTAAGTGATTTTGTGCATTCGTGTGGTTTTGTTTGATTTACACTGACGAAAGTTTTATAGCCGCAACGTTCACGTTTTTATGTGTTTGTCATATTGCAAAGCTCGCAGATATACTTTTTGTTCGATTTTATCTTTCCTTATAAAAAGGGGGGAGGGGCGAGAGGGCATCCACGGGCTTACGCTTTGTTTTATTGCACAGTAATAATAACATTAATTATTATTTATTATTATCATGGTATGCTGAATGACAAATAAACAATAATGAATATGAAATAATATGTAACCTGTAAGCAAATGTTTCAGAAGAGAAGCAGTGGGGGAATGCGGTTGTTGGACAGCTCACGGCCAGCTACAGATTTATACATACATACAGCCGGACGTGAACAGCTGTTCCCTAAAGTAGGAAGGGGAGGGTGAGCTTTCGGTGTTCCTGATACTATTGCGGGAAATAACGTAAGGATGTGTGCTATCAAATCGATCGCCAATCTAATGGAATCTGACAGCTGAGAATAACAAAAGACCGAAGCCGAAGACACTGACACATCTAATAAAAGCATACAGTGAAAATAAAATGTCCCCAAAAGGTCTTTGTTTAGGCCCTTAGCAATAACAACAATAACAAAAACAATGAGGTGAATGGCAAACAAATATAATAACTTCTTAGAAGAAAATATATATGGGTAAACAAAAACATATCCGCCATTGTCCGCCCCAAACTGGGAGGAAATGAGGAGGAAGGCTTGGACATGACATCAGCTAACTCACCACGTGATTTGTTTGTTTTTTATGCTACTGAAACTCACAGAAAAGGACGCCATCCAGTCCACAGAACTAAAAGGAATTCCAGAGAAATTTGACTAAAAAGCTCAACAAAATGGGGAAGCAGAAAAACGTGAACAAAACAACACAATGTAACGTTTCGGTCGGGCTGTCTTTTTCAAACAAAAGTGAACTACACAAACGTCACAACGAGGAGAGGAGAGATCTACATACTCTCCTCACCTCGCTGTGACGTGAGAGATCGAGTTTCTTTCAGGCAGACCGTGATGAGATCGACGTTCTTCAACGGACCTGCTACATGTTGATGAGTATGAGAAAACCCTGGACAGATAAAAAAGAGAAATGAGTGTCTTGAGTGTCTTGAAAGAAACTGACTCGTCAAGAGAACCGCCCACATTAGACGGAGACAATCTACATTCTTTGGTCATGTCATGAGAAGGAGAAAAGTGGAGTACATCGTGACAGTGGGTAACCTGGCGTGGTAAAGATGTAAAAGAAGACCACGAGAGACGACGCTGGATAGTTTGACATCATGGCATTAAAGATGATCTGTGTCAGAAATGATTGAAAGGTCACGAGACAGAAGGTTGTGGATAGACATGACTACCAACACTTCACGGCAAAGACTTTAGGAAAAAGAAGATTACCTTTACCGGTCTGCACATGTAAGCACAAACAAAATTACTTAGTTATCCAACAATACATAGACGGATCTATCAGAAACTAGAAAGAGATTACTCCTACCGTGCACGCATCTGTTGTGCTCCAAAAATCGGCGCCTCCTCTCTCGTAATCTAAGCACCATGTTTCGTTCCTCCGCTCCCTCCAGAAGCATAAAGATGATGCCACCCAGGCTGAGATATCCGATGAAGAAAGCAAAATGCGTCAGAAGTCGACAGGACGGTCGGGTAGCGTACCACAAGAATCCCCGGTCAGAAGTCATCTTTTGCTTTTGAGATATCTACACCGTAATCCTGACTCCAGAAATCACAACTACCAGCGACACAATCTTGAGTCAACTGGCTTATTTGAATCCACAAATGTTTTATTTGTTTCACGTGCTGACACAGGTTACCCGGACAGAGTAGTTTACAATATTCTAAATGAATCAACTGAGGTTTACTCACTTTCTAGAGCAGAGCTGTCTAAACTGTGTATCGCGACACATTAGTGTTTCAGCCGCAGCATGATTTGGCAACAGCAGCGAAGTCCCGGCTGAATACGATGTAAAATAGCAAAGTCAGCATAGCAGCAACGGTCAATAAATACAAATCACTAGTATTGTCTATCTTCTTATACGGATGTGAGAATTCGACTGTTACTGAGAAAATGAAAAGGATGATTCAGGCTTTCGAACATAAAGCTATAGACGAATTTTAAGAATTAGTTTTAAATTTATAACATTAAAATAACATTAAAGTAACATTAAAGTAAAATATAAATTTGTAGGACATTTGGAGCCGCTATTGCAGTGGTGAAACGTCACAGGATAATTCGGTTTGGGCACGTGTTAAGACATGATTCGCTGCCAAAGAACGTGGAAGAAAAGGGGAAAAGGTGGAGGGGGTAGGTAGTCGAAGAAGAAAGGGAAGGGGGGGGGGGGGGGCAAAGAAGAACCTGGAGTGACAACACCAAGATATTACAGAACTGAACTGTACGACGTTTGTTCAACGTTTTTCAAACAAGCAAAAAATGCATTTATTTCAGCAAACATTCATTCATTCAGTAGCATGTCCCTCGCGGAACCTCGCTGCCATAACAACCCTCCGGAAAACCTTCCTATCATGAGCAAGATGTCCTGCGTCTGATACACTCATCTGGAGATCATCTGCCACATCCTGCACCCATCTTCTCCTTGGCCTTCCTTTTCCTCTCTTCCCAGGCATATACCCCTGCATTATTGTTCCCTCTAGACTTCCATGACGTTTCAAGTGACCAAAATATTTCAATTTTCTTTGTTTTATTGTCTTTACTAGCCAACCCTCTTCAATATTCAGCTCTTGAAGTATGGATGCATTTGTTCTTTTCTTTACCCAAGATATTCTTAGAACCTGTCTGTAACATTTATATTCAAATGCATTTATGCGCTGTTCCGCTTGTTTAGTAAGTGTCCAGGTCTCACAGGCGTATGTTGCAATGGGAAAGATGCATGCTCTTAAAAATCTGACCTTTGTAATTCTATCTGTACAATTCCATAATTTATTCAGTTGTTTTAGTCTTTGAAGAGCAATTGATAGTCGCCGTTTAATTTCTTTCATTGTGTCACCATTGTTGGTAACCAGTGACCCAAGATATTCGAAATTTTCCACCACTTCCAATCTTTCCTTATTAACATATATTTCCTTCACCATGGCAGTTTTGTTTGTATGCATTATCTTTGTTTTTGCTATGTTAAGAAATGAGTTATGATTTTCACTATTTCTTTGGAGTGAGGTTAATAAGTTTTCTAAACCACTTTATGATGTTGATAGTAATACTGTATCATCAGCATAACGAATTTCTGGTATTTCATGACCACCGATGTTTAGGGCATCATATGAAATATTATCACCAAGTAGGAAATGCAAGAGGAGGCAAATGCAACACAGATCCTACTTCTGAGACGGAACATAGCCGCGCAGAAAGCTGGAATCTCAAAGACATAGAAGGAGATAACCTATTATTTTAAAGCAACGTAGGTTTATGGTACTGCAATGCATTATTTCTGTACATTATGACTCTCATATTGAAGAACTTTTTGTGAAAATTAAATTCACTTTTAAATAATTTTATTTGTATTTTCTCTCAAGCCGACAGTTAAATCCTGTTAATGCACATTAAAAGGTTTTTTTTTTAAACGTAAAGGTACCTTTTCCACATCTTTAGGCGTATTGGGAATATAGGGCTAAACCTAAATTTGTATAGACCAATCGGCACTTAGTGGGTGATGTGGTCAGCAGCACACCGGTCGCCTTTACTTCACGGGACTGTACCTTATGCATTAACAGATTTCTGTTTTTTTTTTTTTTTGTCTACTCAGTTATCTGTTACATCACTGGTCCGAGCAGTGACGGTTAAACGAAGTTTTGCTGGACTTGTCTTTATAAAAAATTTACAAAATGAACGTGTCACCTACGTAAAAAGTTTAGTAAGCTCTGGATTGTAGGTTGCATTTACAACCAGCTGAGGCTGTCAATTACATAGCAAACGGTAAAAGAACGTATCTCCAATAGTCACAGAAATCGTAATAACATCCGTCAATACAGAGGGATATTGCATGAACTACTGCTGAACACTAGCGTTGGGACTATAATACACTCGAGCAACTCAAAAGAGTGTGATAACTCCCAATATGTTTGTTGTATATATATATATATATATATATATATATATATATATATATATATATATATATATATATATATGTGTGTGTGTGTGTTGTGTGCGTGTGTGTGTGTGTGTGTGTGTGCGTGTGTGCGCGCGCGCGCGCGCGTGTGTGTGTGTGTGTGTGTGTGTGTGTGTGTGCGCATATATGTATATATCGTCTGCAGGATGCAAAGTCAACTAAGTGTAATTACGGTGATTTTCGCCCAAGTGCACATAATGGCTGTCATTTGTCGCGTGACAGTATGCCACAGAGACACATGTGGTAAATCTGACTCCAGCAAAATAAAGCACTAGTTTTCCAGCAACTGTACAATTGTCATTTGGTACCAGAGAGCGGTTTAGCATTTATGTGACTAAGGTGTTGACTAACCTTACTGGGTAATCGCCGTACAGTAGAGAAATGGCTGACCGAACGGGTAAGTATTCAGAGCTCTCATGCCAGAGAACCAGGTTCGAATTCTTGGTAAGGTTGTGGATTTTTTTTCTCGCTGCATGCTTACGCCATTCATGAGCGAAAGCTACCAGTTATTGGAACTACACTGATAGCTGCCCACGCATACTCTCAACAGCGAAGGAACAAGGAGGAAAATATCACGTAATACCCTCTCCAGTGTAACCATTACCTGCTAACGCTTACATTTGGGAATTGATCACACCACTCCACTGTATAGAAGTTAATAATAAATAAGACATTTAGTCACGAAGTGATCGTATAAAAGTTCCCCGCCTCCCAAGAAAAATAATTTAATCATGATGAGGTCATACAAAATATACTAAAAAACTGAGATGAGTTCATGCAAGCATTACTAACAAGCGTGACGCAGCAACTAAAATGAGGACGCCGTCAACACCTGTTCTCTAATCTTAGGCTGTATCGCCAGTATGATGGCTCAGACGAAATAAATGTACGAAATGTTTCATCTGTAACCTTGCAGATGTAGGCAAATTAATCTCCCTGCACAGCGGACGTAGTCATAGGAAATGTACTATTAAAATGCATTGGATATTAATAGAGAATACTATCAAAAATAATAAAAAGGATACTAACACGGGATACAGATAAAGGATGCTAAGACAAGATACTGCTAATGATGCCAATAAAGTATACTATCAAATTATACTAACACACGATGCTAACACTTGATATTGCATATGATACTGAAACAAGATACTTGCACATGAGTCTAACACATGATACTAATACAATGTAGAAGGGTTGTTAATACAAGAATATAACAAATTAAGCCAACGAAGATACTAAAGCAGGATATAAATAATGTATCCTAGAAGGAGACACTAACAAAGTATACTTACTAAGGTTGAAACTAACGGAAGAAACAAACTGAGAACGAACACAACAGATATTGGTATAAACATGTTCCTGGATAAATTTCGTCAGACAAATGACATAGTATACTGTTAAAGCCATTTAAACTTGTCACAAATAACACATCTTAACCAGTACATTTGCAAAACAAAACTAGACCTCGATTTACAATCAAAGCCGCTCACAGCAGGTTAAAGGCGATCGATCTCCCCCACCTTTTTAGGATGGACTCCATTCACCATGCTTGAGGACCTTGATTTTGCAGATGATATAGCACTCCTTAAACATGAGCTTATACATGAGAAAAGTAACAGACTACACAGCACAGCAGAAATGGTGGGACTGAGAATAAATACAAAGAAAACTAAGATCATGACCAACAGTCCAAACAAAGAACCAGTGACCATAAATAACTAAACACTTGAAAATGTAGAACATTTCACATATCTTGGCAGCGTGGTGTCCCAATGGGAGGGACTTAGGAAGACATACAGTCACGCCCGAACAAAGCTAGAGCTGCTTTTAGAAGGATGAGGCAAATCTGGAAATCCAACAGTTACCGCAGAGGAACGAAACTCCGACTCTACAAGAGCATCATTGTGCCAATTCTTCTTTATGAGCAGAATGCTGGAGAATGACCAAAAAAGATGCAAACAACCTGCCCACCTTCCACCAAACATGTGTACGTAGAATTATCAAAATTTTCTTTAGACAGTATGAAAACCAAGAGAAGATAGAAATGGCTTGGCCACGTTATGAAAATGAATCCTGATATTCCTGCCAAAACAGCATCTTGACATGGAAAACTGCACTGAAGATTACACAGGACAGGAAAGCATGGAAAAATCCTCTCTGAAACCTCATGTGCCACTAGGCACAACGAGAACTGACGATAATGTACATATATACGGACTGACGGACTGGTCGACCGACTTAGAAACAGGCATAGACAGGCAGACGCGGTGATTAACAAACAAACATTCATAAATATTTTTATTAAGAAAGATTGATTGGCAGGCGTGGACGGAGAGAGAGAGAGAGAGAGAGAGAGAGAGAGAGAGAGAGAGAGAGAGAGAGAGGGAAGAGAGAGAGAGAGAAAGGGAAGAGAGAGGGAAGAGAGAGAGAGAGAGAGCGAGAGAGAGAGAGACAGGCACACGAATAGACATCTCTATGTCCTTCCTAATATTATTAGTGCCCACCGGTTGTAAACTCCGACGGAAACTGTTGGTTGTTTCTCCAGCTTTGGATTT